TAAAGCGCATAACCAAATCCCGATGGCACCAGAAGATATTCCGAAAACGGCTATCGTAACGCCTTTAAGACTTTTTGAATTTCTACGTATGCCATTCGGTCTCCGGAATGCAGCACGAAAATTCCAACGTTTCATTGACGGAGTACTTCGCGGTCTCGACTTTGTATACGCATACTTAGACGACTGACTCATTGCCAGTCCAGACAAGGAAACTCACCTTAGACAGTTGGATTTGGCATTTAAAAGGTTACGCCTACATGGTGTTACCATTCATATTCAAAAGTGTCAAACAGGCGTTGACTCACTCGACTTTCTGGGCCACACTATTGACTGAAATTGCATTCGCCCACCAGCTGGTAAAGTTAAGGCTATACTGAGCTTTCTAGAGCCACAAACAGTGAAAAGACTGAGCACTTTTGAAGGCTTGGTAAGTTATTACCGACGGTTTATCCCCAACTGTGCTTCTCTGATTCAGCCATTAACAGACCTTCGAAGGATTCTCGCTAGTGACTTGCTACAGGTTGGAGCTTCCTGGAGTTCTAGTGAGAAGTCGTGACCAGTGAGGTCCAATTAGAAGCCACGTGTGTGGATGGATGTCCCACCAACGACAATAGTTGAGGTCGCGCTAAAACCACGAATTGGTAGAAGTTAGAATTCATGAGCCATTGAATCGGGTCCCAGTGGCTGAATGATATACGAGCTTGCCTTGTAACCGGAAGGTCCTGGGTTCGAACCCTGACTGTGGGTGCGTACTGACGATGATTCCCAAACTAGGATGAAACAGCAGCTGTCCAGTACTCCCTGGTTTTCAATGGTTCTCTAACTGATATCAGTCCGTGATCAACTCGTAAAATAACAAGTCCATCGAACTCGAGGCGTCTGCTCAAAACGCTACCTCTCAGGTTAAAAAGGCTACTGCAGATGCCACACTTCTAATGTATCAGGATCCAGCGGGACTGTTGAGTATCTCATTTGCATCAGACACTGCAATCGGCTCAGTTCTGCAACAACTAGTCAACAGAGAGTGGCAACCATTTGCCTTTTTCTCGAGGCGCCTACAATTAGCGGGAACCAAGTACAGCACATTTGGCAGAGAACTTCTGGCTATGTACTGTGTTACACACCACTTCCGACATTCAATGAAGTGTCGCGAATTCATAATTTTGACTGACCAAAAACCCATTACGTATTCTCTGAACTCAACTTCAGATACCTATTCACCAAGAGAATCGAGACAATTGGACTACGTTTCAAAGTTTACATCGGATATTCGTCAAGTGAACAACACTGTGACAAATGCCTTGTCACGCATTTTTTCTCTTGTCCAAATAGATGGCATAGACCTTGCAAGGCTGGCTCGTCTTCAAAAGGAAGATACCAAGCTTCAAAATGAGTTGTCGAAATCAAATCTGAATTCGTTCCATTTTGTTTTTGTTCTTGTACTATTTTCAAACTATATACATTGCTTCATGAGTGATTATGCTCCGAATTTTATACGTATTCGCTCAAATGCGAAAACCGTACAATCCGTGAACTTCAATATCGTCAGCCTCTAAACCCTTTAATTTTTACCACATTAAACAGTACACTAAATGTAGACATATATAGCAATGAAACAGTATCTGGTTTATGATTTAAGAGATCTCTGTGCTCATTTTATCGTTGATCAGCTTGCTAGTACTCAAAACAATCACTCGGAATTATTTTTATTGTTTCATATATTGTAGTTCCAGTTTTACAATGGAGACCAGAGCAGAGGCTTTTTCTCTGGAGCAAGTGCTAAGCATTCTTTCTAAAGATATATCTCAAGATGAGCTCAATAAGCGCAGTGTGGGTGACTCGGAAATACGTGTATTTTTGCGTTTAAAATATTCTGTTTTTAGTTCGCCTGTAGAGGATTAAAGAAGTTCATCAATCTCAGCCATTTTACCTTGAATGGTCAGTTTGTTTACCTGTACTGACTAGATCAGATGATGGATAATTGAATTTTCAGGGAACGAGAGATCAGTGGCACCGTGTTGGTGTGATTTTACATCTGTGTTCTGTCTTCATACCACTGTTAATAAATGCATCCTTGAATAGACGTAAGCGCCACATTTTTTCCTCCACCAATTGAGGTAATTTTCGTCATAGCCTGGTCACCAGATTTGGTGACCACGAGAAAGAGTCAGCAGGTAGTGTGGTCAAGGCCCAGGCCTAAAAGGACAGATGTTTGCGCAATAATAATGAGTGAAGCCATTCGAAAACGAGCTTGAAGTCATTCATGAAGTGTCACTAAATGATTTCTTAAATGCCAAACTGGTTTGGTACATTTCGTAAACCTTATCTTAGCGTTTAACTACACTTTTCGCTTTCCATGATTATTGTGGTTACAGAAGGCAGCCATTTCAAACGGAATTTCATTTCATGAAGGAGGAAAGTATACAATGTATTTGATACGATACAATGATATTAGAGTGGTATCTTAAACTTAAAACCATCGACCTACATATAGTAAGTAAACATTATATACACTATGAAAACCGTTAGCATATAATTCCCGGAGATATCGCCATCGTATTAAAATTGGGACCACAGGGTAGTTGTGACATGGTTAGTGAAGGGGTCTCAACTAGCTACAAAACATTTTATTTCCTGCCATTAATTTGGTTGTCAAGGAAGATGAAAGACTTCATAGGAATAGACAACTAGTCTATGAATATCCCCTAACTTATCGGAAATATACAGTTACGAAGGTGCTGAGAAAGTTAATTATGTCAAATAGTCTTCTTATGTGGAGATAAATAGGCTAGTGATATGCAAAAATTACTGCTGGAGACTAAATATTCGTTTAACAAATATTAGGGGTGATTGGTTACCAGAGGCTATAAGCAGATCGTTTATGTAGCATTCTTTAATTTCAGTAAAGTGCGTAGTTAAGTCTTCCATATACATTTACTTTGGAAAGTGTAAGATTTTGGTTAGGCAGAGGGCTTGCGAGGGCCCTTAGCATAATAGAAAACAAACTTCGAGGGTGTTTAATGTCTCCACACCACATAGGAAATAGTATGCAGACTGGGACAGCTCAGTTGGCAGTTAGCGATAAAGAAATATGAACGGACGAGAGGAATAATCAAGCAGGAACTATTCAACCTTTGTGACTTCCAAATTCCTCCACTATTAAATGATATGGAATGGTGATTACTGTTCCGTTTGTCTGACTGGGTTTTTCCACCTCAACCCTAGTGGCGTTTATTAAATACTCATCAAACACTAAATAATATTTTCTTGCTCTGTAACCTTTGTCTAGGGCTTTTAGAATTTCCGATGCGAGACTTCCCGGCGCGCAATCAGTCCTGGCGCTGGAAACAAAATAACTTGAATAGGCTGTATACTTTCAGAGGTTTCTACTATAGATGGCTAAATTAGGGCAGAATAATCTCAAGCAGTGTCCCATGAATATGTGTTCTTGCACAAGCGAGTAAGATGTGATATCATACAGCAACCATAAGAGGAACTTTCTAAAGTGGCTACATAGCACTGAAAACGTCATTTGATTTAGCTGAATAAATCCGTACATAGAGTTAATATCACCAGACTAATGTCTGCCCATTTAGACCAAGATTCACTGTTCGTGGTTATAGAAAGAATTCTATAAGCGAAAGTCAATAACACTACTCACAATTCACAAACTTGGAAAATGGGTTAGCCAGACAAGTGGTTAAAGCTTCTGACTCAAGAAAAAAAAAATGGAATGAACCAGTATCAGCCTAAAAACTCTTAAATAAGTATACCTTTTGTCGTAAACGCGCTTCCCTGTAGCAACACATCTCCCTTAAATACTTGATAAATATAGAAGAGAAGAATTTTGGCGAAAATATTTTTCTTCAAAGGGAAATTTGAACGGGAAGGTCTATTCAAAATAATCATGTCACTTTGAATTAAATTTTGGTCAAATGCTGCTCTGGAAAATCTGAACTACAACGACTCATAATTAAGCCAGTATCATTCCAAACTCCGATGCTGATCTGCCTGGGATAGCAAATCATTTCTCTGATGGATGAGTTAATCATTCTCAGAACCAACCAAAACAGCCACATTTACAAATTATGTGCCCGTTCCCTGTCTTTAGCCAAATATTCTTTCACAGTCGATTTCAAGAGAAGAAATGAACTGAGGGAAAATAAGAAGGCATGAAAGTTGGTGTGAACAAAATCAGGTTCATGGAATTTCAGGTGAAATTCTTCCACACTACTGAGTGTCCCAGAAAATGGGAAAATTAGCCGCGAACATACTTTGATATTCCATCATCATTTTTTGTGAGTTGTCTACCATTTATGTACTGGTAGTAGAGGAGTGCTGAAGGAGTGGTGGAATAGTCATGCGCAATCTATAAGGACCGAAGGAATTGGTCAACAGGCGATAGTTTAGTGCTTTTTTCTTTATTAGACAACTTGAGTGAAACAGCCTATAGTAATGTGGCCTTAGATCAGGCACTGTAACCAGGTTTTCGGATGTCTTTTAAATACATTAATGAGAACGCGTTTCCGCAAGAAATCATGACGCATAATGCAAAGAGGTATCAAACCATTAATAAAGAAAGATTTTGGCACCATTAAATGAGAATAGAGAGTGTCTTGTAAATTAGTATTAAGCTGGTGTTACTCCGTCACAAAACGTAGGAAAATTTAGGACTCTTATTATCAGCGTATCGTGGGAAGCGCAGCAATACAACTCCATACTGTTATTTGTAATAAAATGCCCTAAGCATTAATCCTTTCTACTTTTCACTCGTTACGGGGAGATTATTCAAGAGATCATCGTAAGAAGATTAAAAAATACCGCAGATCGAGACACAGATGGATATTTGATTCCTTCAAAATGTGATCAGCAATTGACTCCTCACGTAAAAAGTTTTAAATAATATCTTGGAGATAAGCAATATAACTGAGTGCTTATAACATTGCTAATAACAAAACAAATAGTTTCAATGTCACTGTTGTTTTATTTTATCGATAAAACTTATGTGGACCAATAGAAATCTTGCCAAGTGTACGTAGTTTTTTGATTTCAGCCGCCACATGAATTGGTCACTGTGTTTCGGTGTCATTTTGTGCCTTGTTTCTTCTTCAGAAGTCACATTCGCCAAAAGATTTGATGCGTCTAATTGCGAAGGTAATTTCTGACTTTATATGGGCTTATTCGCAGTATGTATGAAATTTTTGGGATCCTTCATCGAATCACTTCAACCTAGTGATCGAGAAACTTCAGACAAAATCAAGGAAGCTTTCATGAAAAAGTGTGCAACATCAGTCGGGAAGGATAATGATTTTGTACGTTTAATTTGTGTTTATAATTTCCGTAGTGCTATCATGTTGGGGGTTTGAAGACGTCAGCGGCAAGTACACTTAATCGTCTAGTGGATCCAATTAAATGGCAGATGCCCGTAGAAAAGGTGTGCCAAAAACTATTTGAACTTGACTCCCAGATTTGCGACTTAAGATATGGTGAGCCTGGTTATTCAAAATAACTATGTTTGTAGAAAAAGTTATCGACCTTAAGGAGCTTGATTTCAAGAAGTCAAAAGTCAAAGATTTAAAGAAGATTATAGATAAGTGGGGATTGGAATGTCGAGGTTGTTCAGAGAAAAGTGACTTTATTCAACTCATCAAGAGCAATATTCACAAATATGATCCTGATGCTGCAACTTATTTGGAAGCAAGAAACGAACTTTGAACTCCTTCGTAACTCCTTTTGTACAAAGTTGTCATTAGCAGACTTTATTGTTTTCATATTTTTATTTGATGTGATTTAATGCTGTTTTAGGTTTGCCAAATGTTTTCTTAACTTAACAAACGGGCTTCTTGTAGGTCAGGTTTCTATGTATGAAGTGTAACAATTAAAAAGTATGGTGAATTAATCTCATTATCGATGGTTGTATTGTCTTTCTTTCTTAGTCAGGTATAAGTGTTCTGCACTGATGGAAGGTAAAAAGCAGTTATCAAGACTACAGGAATTGTTTGTACTGTTCAAATTTGAAGCGTATTAATTAGTTTTTTATGGTTTGACGCTGTATCTTGAAAAAACCCAAGGTTTCATTTCTGCGTAATATTAGCTCAAAGTTTCAGGGGAAAATTCGCTTTGTCAACATTTAAGCCCTACATCCTTCATAATTTTATTGATGAATGTCGGACTTTTCATAAAAGGATAAAGACAGTTACGTACTCTGAACGACCGTGTTTATTAATAAACTCTTATGAAACCATTTTTAATATTAGAAACCCATAGTCGCAGTTTCATAGGTCAGTTATTTGTGGGGGGGATACCAGTGTATCTATTTTCATATTTATACATTATCTTCCTCTAGTATTCAATCTCTAGATTCAATTTTAAGCCTGTGGGTTCCGGTTTCAAAACTTGGTGTATCCACTGAGTCTTACGAATCCTTAAAATACTACACGACCCTGCATTCATCGACATATGTAGTTTTTTGGCGGCACAGATGCTTCACTGGATAGTATAAATCTTAAAAGTATCCATTGTGGCATTAGTAGTGACTGACTCTGATTTAGATGCACAAAAGTGCCTCAATTCAGGTGGCCACATCGGAAAAGCACCTATGAATGCTGAAGGGAGTAAAATGATAAGAAGTGAATACGTCCGCACTATTGCGAAAGGTTTCGTTCCGTGCATATCCAACATTTTACTGTAAGAATCCTGGACAGACGACCTACAACATGTCCAATGGTTCTTTCAAGCAAATGGATTCATCATGTCATGCTTTGACCATTCTTGAATCTTTCCCAACGTAATCCTATTTAGACCAACATCGCTCGTTGAGGGACGTGGCAATTTTGGATGCACAACACATGTTGTAGCTACTGCAGTCAATAAAGCTTCATAGACTAACGTTTCCTTACGTTATACTGCTTAATCTCGTATCACACCCCTTAGGTTCACCTAATGGAGGGACCCTTGGTCAGAAGATACTCAGTAGTCACACCTCCCAGGTGTAAAGTAGGATGAAGAAGACTACCACACACTTAGCACATTTTTCGATGAATAGCCGGATATTACTCTTGCACCTCAAGGCTATGGAACCTGTCACATTAAATAACATGTTGGTCAAGTTGGTCTCCCTTTGATTATCATATGAAGGTCTTTTTCCCTTCTGGTATGATCAGCAATCTACACAACCTGATATCTTGGATTTTTGTACACCAGCAAATATAAACAACTCACCAAAATCACTCTTGAATACTTATTTAGTACTACCATCCGATTCTGCTGCTATGATTCATCTTGCACTAGAATCAGTCCTTGCAATCTGGGCTGAAGTTGGTATAAGGGCTTATAGAGAACACTGCCATATATACTTGAAATTATAATCACGTTAAACGCGAAGTTCTAAAATATAGATATAATGAGTCATCATGACTTTCTGCTTATCTTGAGAGGAAGTCATCATTTTATCTCACAGGAATAAAAATATGTTCACTAAGACTATGGAATTTTTGAGATATGTTTAAGTGTAGACAATTATCCTAAAATGCAATGGCACTATCCGAAAATAGCAACTAACAGTTTATAAATTTCGCTGTCTCACCCAGAATTACACCTATAAATTTTCGTTTACCCATAAGAAGAAATCTCGTGAAAGTACAGAAAAACAGTCTGTGAATTAACTTCACAAAAAGATTCGTTATGGGTTGACAGAATTTTAGAAGGATACTCTACAGCATTGCAGGAAAGGGAAATAGGATAAAAACTGCAAAAACCAGAAAAAATGGGACTGTAAAATGACAATTTAGACGTAAAAGAGAATAAAAGTATCCGTACTACTGGTTGACTTTAGATCTCAACATATGCAGAATAAAACGACAGTATAACCTTAAAAGTATTATCACTAAATGTCTAAGGGATAGTTGGGGAAAAATTGTGACTAGAAAATAACTGGTAATCAGAACAATGTTAAGTTCTCCTGGCTTGTCCAAAACGGATCGTCATTCCACGAAGTTTGCTGCTTTTGGTTTTAGCCACATGGGGATGTGTAGACTGCCTGGTTGAGAGCCTGAATAAGATGAGAACTAGTGGATTAAGATCTTCGGTGATATGACTCAAAGTCGTTATCAGATGCATTCCCTCTTTCTGACCGCTCAGATTCGTTAAATTTTCATTATCCTCCGTATACTTATTCTTAATCCTGCTCATTTCTGTGCGTTATAGTTCTTTTGGATTTTTCCTCTTTTTATGTTATATGGTGTGTGCAAAGTTTATGTTGAAACCTTAGTCAGTTACTCATATTTGTGGTTGGGTGGGAGGTTAAATCTGGCTCTTTCATAGAAAGAGTTAGTTGTCAACTTCTAACCGTAGACGTTTTTGTTTTTAAGTATGTGCCTGTAAATTTCATTCCTTTACAAAAGACTGCCGCTCCTTCTGGAACTCGTGAGTAGACTCTGATCACGCCCTGGTTCGCGCACCTTTAATGCTTACGACTAAGTGGACACAAAAAACTGTTGGCAGCGAAGCAGTTATGTACCCAACTAGATCGAGACTCTGAGTCCCTATTTAAGGAAAAAATAGCGAAACGAGTGGATGAGGTTGACAGCAGGACTTCTCTTGAGGTAGCCTGGCACAACATGCAGTTAGGATTAGGCACAGCTGTAAAAGCTGTTAATAACCTGAAACCCAAAGTTAGTAGGAGCCATTGGATTTCTACCACCTCATCCCAACTGATCCGACCAATAAGACTGATTCCTGTGAGCTCCGGTTATTATGAGGAGCGAGAGCTACTCAAACGCAAACTAACAAGAAGTCTTCGCAACGACCGTGAACAGTGGTGGGCGACAAAAGCGAAAGAGATGGAAAAGGCACCGGTGATTGGTTACACCAGACAACTATTTGGGCTTATCAGGGAAACAGGTTGCAAAAGACAAATGATAAGTGAAACAATCTCTGAGAAAAGTGGCACCATAATTAGCTCCCAGGATAGACTAAGACGTTGGAGAGAACACTTTGAGGAGCAGTTTAATTGGCCTACAGCCACACTCAACTTACCGAACACCCAACACCTCCCTGAATGGGATATAGACACAGGTCCTCCGTTCCTAACTAAGCTTACTAATAATAATAATAATGGCTTTATTCCAAACAGTATTTGTGGTACAGGTATGGAATTTTCAGCGTTCATTACAATATTGCATCTAATTACCTCATAAATTTTATAAGGATTTAGAAATATAAAGCAACAACAACAAAAAGAAAAAGAGAAATAAAAAAAAGCATTACATTCACATATTTAAACAATGCACCACAGGATATGATATATAAAATTAGTCTGTAATAGAATATATGAGCAACAATATAATAGTAACAAAGAAAGGAGAACAAAAGTTAATGGGAACTATTTGTTAGAGTGCCACAGTAAATTGATCATGTCATGCCTAACAGTTTTCCTATCACATAACAGCTGTGCCAGATAAGGTATTGTGGAGTTTTTATACTTGGTAGTCCTGGCATATAGCTTCCTATAGTTGCTTCTAGTTCTACCAGATGAAATGCAAGGAGAGAGCTGCGTATGGAGAGGGTGTTCGGGGTCTGACAATATAGAATTTGCTAGTTTCTTACATGACATTATATGTCTATCCACAATTGTGTTAACCAGTTGGTTTAACGAAATCCCACTTGCCCTACTAACAGCTTTTAGTGCCCTATGCAGCGAAGCAAAGTCTTTCTTAAGTAGTCCAGGAAAGATTAATGGGGAGCAGTAAAGAGGGATGGGTAGAATACAGGAATTGACAAACTGAGAAAGCAAAGACTGCTTTATACCAGACTGCCTAAACTTCCTAAGGTAGAACGTTAAGCGGAACATCTTTCTAGTCACTAGCAAGATGTGAGAGGACCAGGAAAGATCGGAGGAAATACTCAGTCCAAGGTACTTGACATTAGATGTAGTTTCAACCTCTATGCCGTCAATGATAGTGGGACCATGTGAGCTAGCTAGTTGTTGAAGGTCACTTTTTCGTCTGGGAGTAAAATTTACTACCTGACATTTAGACGGATTCAGCTTAAGACCGTTTGAAGAGGACCACTGACTAATTTCCGAGAGAAAGTTATTTAATATGGAACAGTCTAACTGAGAGTTGACAGGCATGGAGACAGAGAGGTCATCAGCATACTTGACAAAAGTGGCTACATCAGAATGGGGCAAGTAATGTAAGAAAAAAGAAAACAGAAAAGGAGAAAGAACGGCACCTTGAGGAACACCAGCTAAAGTAAGTGAGGTAGTGGAGGACTTTCCATTGTAGACAGTGTACTGCTTCCTATTAGAAAAGTAGGAATACAACCACTTATTTATCCAGCTATCACTCTGTGTTGCAGCAAGCTTACTTAACAAGAGAGACCTAGGTACAGAGTCAAATGCAGATGTGTAATCAAGGAAGGCACACCGAACATATTTGGCTCCTCTATCTAAACTAGAGACTATATTATGATATAGAACTACAGCGGCATCTAAGGTACACCTACTATGTTTATAGGCAAACTGGTTGGGGTCGTTAAGAGGCTTTAAAGAGGGTTCAAGATTAAGTAAAATAAGTCTTTCCATAACTTTTAAAAAAGGTGAGGTAATAGCAATGGGTCTAAACTTGACAGTAGGTCCACTTGTTGATTTGGGCACTGGAACAACCTTGATATTTTTCCATGAGTCAGGAATAAAACTTTTGGAAAAAGATTCATTGAAAATGTCGGTTAATGGGGAACATAAGATGTCAGCACACTTCTTAAGGATAACAGCAGGAACTCCATCAGGACCAAGGGACTGGGTAGGTTTGAGAGACTGAAGACACTTGAGGACATCATTCGTTTTAAAACATGAAAAGCAGTCATTATTTATACTGTTAGATTTGGGAATCATAACATCTGCAGGGATACATATGAAGGATTTATTAAGCATATCAACATCGACAGAAGTATCATTCATTATTTGCTTACCACCTGTGATTTCCTTTAATAGCTTCCACATATTAGATGAGGATTTACATAAAAGAAACTTCTGGTTATAGAGAGCATTTAATCTTTGTAATTCGGCTTTAATCAAAGTGTTTATTCTCTTAACACCAGATTTATTTTTATTTATTTTATTATTATTATTTTATTATTATTTTATTTTATTATTATTTATTATTATTTTATTTTATTTATGCTGTCACTAGTCTGAAACGAGGCAAAGCAACAGGACCTGATGGAATGACTCCAGAAGTATTTAAGTACGGTGGAGTTAG